GGAGACTGATAGCCAGTCTGGCATTCAACCGTAGCAAGATATTCACCGATGACCTAGTTGCCCTACACATGAAGAAAAGCCACATAAAATTCAACCGCCTGTTTACGGGGATGAGCATCCTCGATTTATCCAAACACCTGATGTACGACTTTTACTACAACGAGCTTAAGAAACAGTACAACGACAGGTGTGAAGTGCTGTACACTGACACGGATTCCCTGCTGATGGAGATTCGAACCGAGGACGGTAATGAGGACATGAAAACACCTCGATTTGTATGACACCAGCGACTACCCCAAGGCCCATGCCATACACAGTACGGTAAATAAAAAGGTCCTGGGTAAGATGAAGGACGAGTGTGCTGGCACGCCCATAGCCGAAGTACATAGGTTTGAGACCTAAGATGTATTCCATACTGAAGGCCGACAAATGGTGAGATCCGAAGGCTAAGGGTGTTAAGAAGTACGTGGTTAAACAACACATCAAACACGCCAGATTCAAGGAAGCCCTGTTCAAGACCCGCACCTCTTTAGACATAAAATGAACACACTTAGAAGTGATGGGCATAAGATATACGGACTTATTATAAACAAGACGTCCCTGTCGCCGATGGACACTAAACGCTGGATAGCTATTGATGGGATAAACACGTACGCGCACGGGCATGAGAAAATTGAACCAAGAACATAGGTGTATGTAGGCTACATGTCGCTGAATCAGAGAAAGTTTGAGGCTATTTACTATAGCCCACGTGGGTACTGGAAAGGAGCTAGCGCTGTAGATAAGCTGACTAAAATGGCGCTGAAAGTACCCCCGAGGAAGCCAAAGCGCGGCTTGAAAACAAGCCCTGTGGCAGATCTATTTACCGCACCACGCCACGCGTCGAGAAGGAGGTTCAGTATTAACATACCTAATAGCGCTCACCAGGCAGACCTCCTATTCCTACCCCACGACAAGAGGTACAAGTATGCCTTAACCGTAGTGGACGTAGCCAGTCGCTACAAGGAAGCCGTAACCCTTGACCGCAAAAGATTCTGCCCAGGTAGCCAGAGGATTCGAACGCGATATACAAACGCAGTCCGCTGACGTGGCCAACAGAGCTGCAAGTTGACCCCGGCTGGAATTCATGGGTGTCGTGGTCACACCTGTTAGACAAACACGATACAAAGGTCAGAGTGGCACGGCGGCCGGAGCCCATCGCAGCCGCTTCATAGTTGAGAGATTTAATAGGACTTTGGCTGAGCTTTATTCGGCATCAGTATGCGAGGGAGATGGCAACCCCGGAAAACGATCAACTGAATGGGTTGTGAGGTTACCCAAGGTGGTGTCGGCAATCAACCATGAAGTCACCTCGCCTCACCGCAAGAAACCGCAGACGCTATCAAACTAAAATCAATAGCAGCAGAGTCGGGCTGCTCCATTGCGTGGGAAAGAGAAACAGATACCAGATAGGGCCCTAGTGAGGTATCTATACCAGCCGGGGAACACGAGGGTGATAGTCGTAGTTTAAGCCACCGATCCTATATGGTCAGTCAAAACTTACAACATAGATAAAGTGGACATCAAAGCAGACGAGCCTAACTTGTACTACTTGAGGGATGGGCCAGGTAGGGGGTTTGTAAGAGCGGAATTATTGATCGTACCGTACGGCACAGTGTTACCTCCAGTCAACACAGCATAGCGGTGCCCCAGGATACCAACACACCCCAGCCATGTCCCCGGTGCGGCTAGGAGATCCCGCTATCGTCCCAAACTTTTTCATAGTAGGGGTAATGGTAGCAAGAGCTAAAGGTCCGACCAAAGCCTTCTCTGTGAAATAAGGCTTTGCAGAGGCTTTGGTTGGAACTGGTCCAGAACCCCCATTGTATATACTACTAATGCAGCGAAAAACAAACACCCGCGTATTTACGAGTGATTAAAACTGTTATTACAATTTACGTAAATATTTATTACATTTTACCGCAACAAAAATTATTACAATTTACGTCAATTTTTATTACAATTTGCGTATTACAATTTACGTCAATTTTTATTACAATTTACGTTTTTATTACAATTTACGTCAAGTTTATTACAATTTGCTGCAAGTATTACAATTTGCGCTTTTATTACAATTTACGTCGTAACAGTTACCATTTGGCATTTCTTGTGTCTGGAGTAAATACTCAATATTATAAATAAAGGTCTGATGTAATATGCTCATGGAAGTGCAGCGAGAAGAATTATCAGCGGAGTTACAAAAACAAACATCGATCAAAGGATTAACCGATATCAAGCGGATTAATTACTTTTATCTTGCACAGCGGATTTGTCAAAAGGTAGTGTTTATGTATGTAGAATTTCTAATCTATACTGAAGACACTCTGTCGTAAAGTGTCTGTGTAAAAACGACGTCCTTCTTTCAAAGGATTAACCGCCAATACATTGATTGCTCATTATTGGCTGACTGAATTACATTTTTTTAAAGAATGGCGGACATTATGCAATTAGTTGCCAGGTGTGCTATCTTGGGTGACTAGTGATACTATACAGCAATGTGAAAAACCTGAAACGATATATCACTTTTTCGTATATTGGACTGCTTAAAGACACATCACTTAGAACAGCTGCAGATGAATGGCATATCACTCGTTTATGTGGATATTGATGGGTACATTCCTCAAACAAGGTAATAGCCTGACATTGTTCCTATAACTTTAGTCTGTTTTAATTTCAGAATCATTGTTTTCGTCGTGAAGTGTAATGAGACGGACAACATACACTAGGGCGTCTGTGCGAATTATGATTCACATTAGCAAACTATACAATGTCTAGATATTACAGTCCTGTTATATAATTCACTATAAGTATCAGCAGATCGCCTGCTTTTTGTATGTATAAGTATGATAATAAACTAATTAGGATTATAAGACCAAATATAAAGACGTACATTGACTAGTCAAACAGAAACATGAGTCTCATTAACCTATTCAGACAATGACCTACTTTCAGCCGATCTGAATTTTTCTCGTGTGGAAGTTAAGATAGACATCACAAACAACTATGGTTACACTGAATTCCAATTCCTTGTTACATAAGAAAATGGTATTTACAACTGAATTTTAATTTCAAACTTTAATAACATCGTATTTCTATATTTTATGCCGAAGTGTAGGCAGCATGACCTTAACTAATACGTCACAGACTGCCCCAATTTGATGAGGTCGTAAAATGATTCACAATGCATCTGGCTCACTTGTTACAGCTGTTAGGTGTTTATGCGCTTATTCGGTGTAGTTCTGTAACGCACAATGTAATTGATATAATGTAAAGTCCGTGCCAGACCGCCAAACCTTTCTAGCGGCAGAGCCTCGTTTTGAGATTTCCACGATTACCAGGTTTCTGTTTGTCAGTGCTCGCTGCACGACATGTTTGCAAGGATTATAAGGAGCGTAGTGTTGCAATATACAAGTGCTTAGATGTATCCAATAATATTGATTAATATTTATGTATCCAGTTAAATAAATTGGTCTCAAAATTCTGGACTGGTTATTGTACCCGCAATAAGTTGCGCAATAGGACAGAACCCAGTCAACAGGAAACGAGACTGGTGTGTAATCAATGTTTTGACTTGATCTACATACTGGTGAGTGGACGTTATCCACGTGAATGTAGCAAGAAATTTATCGCGCAGTATTGTCACTTCGACCTCCACCTCGCTTCCGTGGAAGAAATCGTTATGTTACAAGTTGTGTCATGCAAAATCCTTTTAGTCATGATTCAAATACATATTTCACTACGAGTAGAAAGTAGTTTTGATTTTCTAACTTGATGAAAACAAACCATGTTGTCATTAATTCTTTAACAAACTTAAGCCCTTGAAGTCACTATTTTTAAAAATGGCGGCGATCTGTCGCGAACATCCGCCAGTCTGAGAATAAATGCTATTTAGGTTTGTTTTGATCGAGTTACAAAATCAAAACTACTTTGTACTGGTAGTAAAATAAGTATTTGATTGATGACCTATAGGATTTTGCATGACATAGCTTATAACATAACAATTTCTCCCGTGGAAGCGAGGTGGGTGTCAATATGACACTACTTGCAATATTATTGTCACTTCGACCACAACCTCGCTTCCGAGGAAGAAATGGTTATGTTACAAGTTGTGTCATGGAAAATCTTTTTGGTCATCAAGCATATACATATTTTACTACAACTAGTAACTAGTTTTGATTCTTTAACTTCTGTGAATCGATATGAACACAAGTAACATATCGTTCCAGGCTTCCACAACGCTAGCCTCCTCTTACGACCAACATGGGTCGCTGAAGACCAATTCTAACCGATCTTCACGTCTCGAGACACTTTTGACTGACTGTCCACGTCTGGTAGGCTCTAGCATAAATCAAGTCACAATATATATATTTTTTTATTTCAGTCAATATTTTGCATAGTATACATAAAATGTTGCATAAACAATAACGAAATAAACATCCAAATAAAACGAAATGCCATTTGAAGAGAGTACGTACACCCACACGTCCAAATCAAGATCGGATGAAAATGAAGATACTTCAAATGGGATTGTAAGTTCGAAAACCAGTTCTACCCGATGATGTTTTTTTCAATATGGTAATATATAAAAATACGGTAATTTATTAAGAAATGCAGCTCACTCTACCTCGAAGTATGGTGTAACAAAATACAGTATTGTCATGAGCTATTATGAACTATAGTTAAAGCACGAGAACGCTTGCGAGTGCGTTTCTTTTCTGAGATGATAAATCTAAGGCACAAAAGGATGTTGTATACAACATATAACACTACGATGTTCCAGCAACATCGGTGGGGACACTAAATAAATGATCCTCGTTCGGCGGCGAGCCAACGCTTTAACTGACCCCACCGCCCCTATAATACTACGTGTTGTCGGTGACCTTAGATAATCCTCGTTCAGGCCCCTACTTTAAAATAACGTTACTTTTAAAATACACGTTACCAATAAAACAAATGATAAACAGTTTGAAGTTTACGTTTTGACTACATATCTTCTCTTTATTGATTCAAATAAAACTGATTATCGTAAACCACATGGGACAATGTGAACGTCGCATTTCTACTTCTAATAACCACATATAGCTGGAAGTACATCTCGACCAAGCTGACCAGTCACGTGTTGTTTCACGGATGCACTGTGCACATCAGTTAACAAACGTTGCTGTCTCGTTGTTTAATTGAGTCAAATTGAGGCATTTTTCGGTCGAAAAAGTAAAAAGTAATGTTTCCACAAGTGGTGTAGGCCAAATGAAGCAACTTCAAACCATGAAACTTGCTGCTAACTTTGTAAGTTGCACTGAAGGCGACTGTACTGGTCAGTGTCAACTGGCGTGAACCTTGACGTCAGTTACCATGGGTACGTATACGTAATGCGGCGTTAGACGTAAAACAATCAAACCTAACAGTTTCACTGACAGTAAGTAGGTATTCAAGCAGTGTCGGTTTCCCTTGTTGAAAAAACATACTTTGATCAATCTTGTTTTATATTTTAAATACTCCGTCGATAGTGATATGACAAATTATATATGTTGTCTCGAGCTAAAGTCAACGTCATTTCCCGTTGTTCAAGGCAAGGCGGAAGATAAAGTTCGAGTGTAATTAAATCTTAAAACGACATATCGTGATAAATGCACGTGATAAGTTCGACCCGTTTCGAGGTTTTAGGAATATAAATTTACAGTGTTAAGGCATAATTTGGGTAAGAAAATATATTCTTCCTAACTGGAACAGTCATGGTATACAACCCAAGGTATCACCACCTTTGTAATACTTGTTGCAAAAATGACAATGTAACGATGAAAAATAAGTTAAAAATGTAATTGAATGCAACATGTAAATGTACTCTAATGACTCCTTAACATATCTTGAATTTGTACACGACACCGTTGTTGTCAAAGGAGTATTTTGGCACGACGTCACGTGACAATTGTTCCCATTTCCCAGCATCTTCTAGTTCCTGCATCAACGGCTCCAACCTGTCCTTGTACTCCCCTACGTAACTGAGATACTCCTCCCTCATCACGATGCAGACAAGACCCCCTGAAAAACAAAAACAAGAGTCATCAGAAGATGACAAATCCCCCCAAACCCCACAAATTTGAAAGAACAAATTATCTGATTAAAGTTTTATTTTTTTTCTGACTAAGTCCAAATTGTTTCCATGAAAATCGAGAAAAATAAAAATGCCAAGAATGTGTAAATAGTAAAAGGCATCACTGTAGGTTCTGTTTTATACATCTACCAATTGTTATTGAAATATATTGAATGGTTTTTGAGTTGTGCTCCCGAAACGAAGCCCACCCCTCTCTTTTCTGTAACAGCAAAAGGCACCAATTTAGGTTCTGTTTGATATATCTACCAATTCTTGTCGAAAAATATTGAATAGTTTTTTAGCTATGCCCCGGAAACTAGATTATTACAGGCGGCCGGACGGCCGTTGACCATAACGCCCCGCATTATATGGTGGTGGTGGTGGGTGGGTTAGGGTGTGTGTGTGTGTGTGTGTGTGTGTGAGAGAGAGAGAGAGAGAGAGAGAATGTGAATAAATGATAAACATGATTCCAGACAAGTTAAAGATCACCCATAAGACTGTCCGTATTTTTTTCTCTTCTAAACTCCACTCCACGCCGCACTCAGCAATATTCCAGCGGTCTGTAAATAATTGAGTCTGGACCACAAAATCCAGTGATCAAATGCATGAGCTTCGATCTACGCAATTGGGATACGATGAAATGTGTCAGCGAGGCTTACCACCCGATCCCATTAGTCGCCTCTTACAACAAGCATGGATTGCTGAAGATCAGTTCTAACCTGGATCTTCGCGGATACCGTAAATATTTTTTTCAATTCCTTAACTTGTTTTGAGCAGTATACATGAAAATTTTGGATTATTTATTTAATGCCACACACAGCAATGGTCCGACCATATGACGGTGGTCTTTAAATAATCGAGTCGGGCCGGAGTAGGAGAGTATGGGTTTTCGTCACTCTCAGCAATATTCCAACAATACCATGTCGAGAGAGTCGAGTAATGGACTTTTGTGTGGAATCGAATTCGGATCTTCGGCGTGGCAAATCTACGCCTCAATCACGAAGTTACCCCCCAGCCCTTCTGAACCAGACAATCCAATGACTGATATCGCTGTTGCTCTCCACGATTGGGAGGGGCGGTGGGATAACCTAATAGTTAAAGCGTTCGCTCGTCATGCTGCAGACGTGGGTTCGATTCCCCACATGGGCACAATGTGTGAAGCCCATTTCTGGTATCCCCCGCCGTGATATTGCTGGAATATTGCTAAAAGCGGCGTAAAACCATACTCACTCTGTCTCACCACGATTGAAACAACTGTGTCTAAGTAAGTAGGTAAGCGTCAGAAATCATACATATGTTGTTAATACTGAAAAACAAGCATAGCTCACCTGGTTTGGTTATTCTGATGAGTTCATGCAACCCATCACATGGAATGTGTCCTTCTCCCATACCCCCGGATATAACACAGCAATCGTAGGTGTCTGTAATAGAATACATCACATTTACAACCGACAGAATACATCATATTTACAACGGACAGAATACATCATATTTACAGCGGACAGGGGGGCGGTGGGGTAGCCGTGTGGTTAAAGCGTTCGCTCGTCACGCAGAAGACCCGGTTTCAATATCCCACATGAGAAACGCGTGTGAAGCTCATTTTTGTTGTCCCCCGCCGTGATATTTCTGGAATATTGCTAAAAGCGGCGTAAATCTGAACTCACTCACTCACTACAACGGACAGAATACATCATATTTACAACGGACAAAATACATCACATTTACAACGGAGTCAGTATACACCACATTTACAACGGAGTCGGAAATGACTAAAATACGGCGCCCAAACCAGTGGTTGATAGAATGAGCACCAACAGCCGTCGCCTGGTACAGATACCCGAATTGTCAGAATTGAAAATATTGATTAAATTCTTGCCGCCATGTCTGAGCCATCATGCAAAGGACAATGTCTAACTGTGACATCGTTGGAATTAACTGGAACCAGTCGGTGACCAAAATGAATTGTACGATATAAACGACTGGTTGATAAATAGGTACCCTTACACAAGCGATCTCAGCGCTTAGACGACCAAACTCTTTGACATAACTTTGGTGGAATCGCAGCGCTAAAACGCCTTGTAGAACAGAGCGTAGTCTAGTTTAGACCCAGAGTGACGTCCGAATGTCAAACTGTGCACATCGTTGTAAATAATTGCAACCAGTCGGTGACCAATCTGTACTGTACCAACTCACGATGTAAACGACCAGTTGATAATTAGGTACCCGTCCCCAAGCGATCTCAGCGCTTAGACGACCAAACTCTATGACATAACCTTGGTAGAATCGTTGCGCTAAAATCGCCTTGAAGAACAGAGCGTAGCCCAATTTACGCAGAGTGACGTTACGTTACGTACCGTCTTTTATGGGTAGACGTTTGCTGTTCAGGAACTCGCAGTACAAGTCGGTGTAGACGTTCTTCTTCCTGGCTTGTTCCAACATCCCGGAAGCTGGTTCCAGAGCATCTACTGACTTGAACCCCCGAGTATGAAGCTGGAACAAAACCGTTTGTTTGTTTGTTTGTTTGTTTGTTTGTTAAATCCTTAACCGGCCGTTAGGTAACCGAACGTTAAATATGCGTTGTTCAAAACATGGTTAGTCATGCCGTTAGCTAACGTCGCCGTCAAAGTTTAATAGTGTGGTTAACGTCACTGGTTAGCTTTCATATATCCCACAATTCCGTTTTCTGTTTACTTACGGATTACAAAAAAAATGGAATCGCGAAATGTCGCCTGCACCCCAAGGAAAAAGAGAAGTCGAAATTTCTCTGCTGACGATGAGAATGTAATCCAGTCAATGGTTGAGACCAACTCTATAGTTTATCATAGGCATGCGAATGTCGTAGCGCTACGAACGTTTGTATTGGAACACAAGGTTCCAGACGTTTGCATATATATTTCAAAGACATATGATCCCAGCTCTGTGTGGGACTTACTTCAATTCCGACAACAGAAAAGACATTTTAATGAGAAACTATAGCACAGCTATACATAAAATATGATGAATCCATGAAAATACATGTAATATTAATAGTAGAAGCATGTTTTCAGTGGATAGAATATTTACAAATATTATACACAGGAGTTACGCTTAGACGGCTACAGTCTTAATGAATCTTTGAATTCCCACAAGACCTATCGCTCACTTTTCACTCCTTAAATTGTCATGACTGTATGGCCAAGTCATTAAGATGCTATCAATATCATTTATTAATTATTTGCCAAGTCTGTCAAAAATTGTAATGTATGAACACACATTGCCAAATCTTTTAACATCAAACAATATAGATGTTGTGACAATAATACCATTAGCTTTTATCTGAAATATGCATTCAATGCCAATAGAAACTTAATATGTTACTAGCACCACGTGCAAGTAATCAAACTGTAATTGTACTATAGGCCCCAGGGCCAACACTGCTGAATAAAATCGATCTATTATTCGACGTTACTGTTGACAGGAATCTCATGAATAAAACTGTGCAATATCGTCATTATCTGAACGCCTTCACAGACGCATATTCCGGAAAGATGTCTTGAAAAACATGAAGCTGCGTCTAATTTATAGATGAACATAATTTCCTCGATACTCATTAATCAGATGAACCTTCATTTAGTTCAATTCACAAGTGACTGCAGAAAATGCATAATTCTTTTTAATGACTTCAAGGTCGGAAAACATGTATCATATTTCATAAGTGTATTATAGAACGCTGTAGTAGATGAACATAATTTCCTCGATACTCATTGATCAGATGAACCTCCATTTAGTTCAATTCACAAGTGACTAAAGAAAATGCATAGATAGTTCTTTTCAATGTCTTCAAGGACGGAAAACATGTATTATATTTCATAAGTGTATTATAGAACGCTGCAACGATTCGGCAGAGAAATACTATTGTGCCATTGTATTCCTTATATATAAAATACATCAGTGTATAACATTAGCATTCAGATATTGTTATAAAATAAGTTTAAAATTCCAAACATTATCGTAAAATGACAAGAGATAGTGTTGTGTTCGCTGTGACAAAAAGGTTTCGATATTCAAATATAACATTTAATCAAAGTGACTACGAAGTAGGCCTGCATATCACTCACAACTCACAACGTTTCGCGAAGGCCGGTATTGAGACGCCAATTACATCACATATATTTCATATTCAGCGGCGACAAATGCATCACTGAATTCTAAGGCTGGGACGGGTACTACGGTACTCGAATCCGGGTCGGGTACAGCTGGAATCGAGTCCTATTTCTAGGAATCGGGTACCCGGAAAGGGAGAGAGCTCTGTAATGACAAGGGCAGACAATAGCTTGTCTTTTTCGTTTTTGACGTAACACACATTTACATCATTGAGTGAGTGAGTGAGTTTAGTTTTACGCCGCACTCAGCAATATTCCAGCTATATGGCGGCGGTCTGTAAATAATCAATTCTGGACGAGACAATCCAGTGATCAACAACATGAGCATCGATGTGGATACGATGACATGTGTCAACCAAGTCAGCGAGTCTGACCACCCGATCCCGTTAGTCGCCTCTTACGACAAGCATGGGTTACTGAAGATCAATATTCTAACCCGGAAATTCACGGGTTTTACATCATTGGTATTGTCCGATTAATGGAGCATAGTTTTAATGACTGTAATTTATCTATGCATGTGCAGTGAGTAGTTAAGTTACAGTAGCAGCAGGAACGAAACGTTCGTTGTTATAACGAGGAGTGTAAGTAATGGTACCGGTGTTACTCTCTATATTGGTTAAACAGACGTAAATTAAATAGCTTGAGGTCAGTTTTAATGTCTTATTACCACTTTTTCAAGTTTTCTATAATAATCTCTGTCAAATCGTGATTGAATATTCAGAGGTTGACCCGAATGTATTTCTTAGATTTCCGGGTACTCGATTCCGATTCGGGTAAGTACATGCGGGTACTCAATTCCATTTTTTCCTACTCGTCCCAGCCCTACTGAATTCCTCATACATATTAGAATCTAATTACAACTGGTCTTTGCCACCAATACCAAGTGTCTAGATAAACTGGAACGAAAGATATTGGGGGTGGAAACAAATGCTGTGCTCGAAAGACAACACCTGTTTGAAATGTAAACAAAGAAAATTTCAGACTTTATACTGTGTAGCATTTTCTCAAATTTGCATGGAAAGAGCATAGTAGCAAGAAATAGGAAATTAAAAATAGATACAATACAGGAATGTGAAATGTTTATACGAAACTGTCAAGTTTCTGTGCAGCGTGACGCCATGACTGACGCAAAATCACGCAGAACGACAACGGTAATAATCGGCATTTCTGGCCGCTTCTTCTCTTTCTTAAAATGAAAACGATAAAAACATGTAACAATACACATATAGTCAGAATCATTATGATTACTTACATCTCATATTTATGTACAAACGATCCCTGAATCAAGGGAAGGGTCCTCGCAAAACCCATGTCAGCCGCCATTTTTTAAGAAATCTCAACGGTAGTGATGTCATACGTCAACATTGTTGTACATATTTGGCAATTTCTCTGAGGTGAAGGTCGGTAGAATAAGAGTATACACAATCACCATATCCCGCCGATTACACTTTCAGTATCATAATGTAATCATTCGGATATTTTTCATGAAACTAATTTAATTATCTACATTTAGCCTTGTTCAATATCATATCATACGTGGGTATAGGGTGTACGTGTTTGATTCTTTGAAAGTGTTTGTTTGAATAATATTTACAGAAGAAATTCACACATTTAGTGTAGTAAAACATATATAAACCTTTACACAAGTGTTAAAAGATGAAACGTACGCATCATGTTCTTGTACAACATGTATTTTAGTTCCTATGAAGTGCATAGATACAGTTTCGTATGTAACTCTTCGTCAGAATAATTTCCAGTATCGAAGTCCAGTCCACGATACACCCTATCCTTTCTTTGCTGAACTGGCCTCATGAAAGCAGTGTTAGCCATGAACGCCATTTGCGAGTTAACCACACTGTTAAAAAGTTAGCGGCGGTCCTTAGGTGTGTTAACTTAACGTCACGTTAACAGCCTGTTAAAAGTTAACAGAGTTTTGAACAACAAGATAACCCTCTGTTATTAGTTAACGGTCGGTTAAATGTACTTAACGGCTGGTTAAAAAGATAACCGAGTTTTGAACAACCGGGCCCTGGTGTTTTCAGATTATTTTCCCCAAAATAAAGTAACTATTTTGAAAATTGTTTTGATAATTTTGATAAAATTGTGCACATGTTGATTCATCAGAAACAACAAAGATGTCCGTAGCATTTATGCCTTTTCAGGAAACAAACTGACTTTTCTTTGTGCATATGACAGACGCTTCATGAAAGACGGGATAACTTTCCCGATAACCTTGTGTTATCAGTTTTACCTTACCAAAATCGTACCAGATCTCCATTTTTCGATTCCGACAACATTTTAACCACGTTTTTATAAATACATGTAATTAAAAAGAAGTGATGATACCAAGTGTTCAATAAATCATATGCATCCAATATGTTCGGAATCGTACAATGTTTTTGTTTTCTTTAGGGGAGCTTTAGAAAAGATTCCCCCATGAATGTGTTATAGAAATGGTTTGTCGTCTCTCTATATACATCATGCACGTACCAAGGCGTTTTGTTTCGTGTCCTAGTTCGATACGAGGGATTTAAGGGACTGTTATTACTTGTGGAAGCCGCATTGGCTGAGAGAGTTAGACGGATGTCTTTGTGTGCTGGCGATTTGGTGCCTGACTCTAAGACTGGGTTCGAATCCCGGATGGGGCTCAACCTTACAAAAGTACTAGAATCTGTCATTCACTGAGAAAGCGTAATCCCAGATATAGCCTATGTTACAGTGTATAGTAAGAGATATTTCTAAAGTACCTGTTCGCCAACGTATCCCGTTCCTGCTGCAACGTCTAGTATTTTCGTCGAGGATCTGTTGTCAGGGTAATGGTCTGCCAGGTAGTTGGCAGCTATGATTGGTCCATTGTAACGCTCTAAACTTAAGTCCTGAAATACCAAAGAGCACCATACATGCCAGTATACATTCATTATCATGACTGATCCTTACCACAAAACCATCCACTTTTAGCAATATTCTAGCAATATCAATGCCGGGGACACCAGAAATTGGCTTTACACATTGCACCAATGTGGGGAATCGAACCCGGGTCTTCAGCGTGACGAGCGAACGCTTTAACCACTGGGCTACCCCACCGCCCCCAATAGTCAGGTGAATATTTGTCAATGTTCATATGGTGTATTACTTAATAAATGTACAAAAAAGGAGTCATTGATATCATTGGGCAAACTGAACAGATTTGGGGGTATTTTTTATCTCATAAATTGCGTTCGTTTGTTTGCTAACGCCGCACGTGGCAATTTTCCAGCTATATGGCGGCAGTCTGTAAATTATCAAGCCAGAAAATCTAGTTATTAATAACAAAAATAATATTGCCTGCCTGTATTGCGCTTAAACTCCATGCATTGCATGCTCAAAGCGCTAACAGTTATCGGAGTAAAGGTGGGTTTTGAGTTGGCGTTTGAAAGGTTCACATGAGTGAGTGAGTGAGTTAATATTTAACGTCACATCGGCAATATTTCAGCCATATCGTGACGAGAACATTTGATATTGAAATGAGAAAGGTTCACATGAAGAAATAGCTCTGAGTTCTGTGGGGAAAGACTTACAAAGACATCATGACGATCAATCTACTCAATTGGGATACGATGTCAAGCGTCAAACAAGTCGATCCCGACCACCCGATCCCGTTAGTCTCCCCTTACGACAAGCATGGGTTGATGAAGACCAATTTCATCAACTTTCAGAAAAAGACCGATGCAAGTTCAAAATTAAATTTAACTTTAAACTAGTTGGTGATATTGGTTGATTTCAGAAGCTGCTGAGTCAGTAATAATTTAAAGCGTGCGACTTTATGGATAACAACTTCTTGTTATCAGTATTACTCCAGTACTAAAGCAGACAACTTTATTGATAACAACTTCTTGTTTATTGCATAGAGCGACGTTTCGGTGTAGATTCTTTTTTATTTCAAGCTTGAAAACGCTGTAAGAATCTACACCCAAACGTCGCTCTATGCAATAAACAAGAAGTTGTTATCAATAAAGTTGTCTGCTCTAGTACTGGAGTAATACTGATCTTTGAGAAAATAGTGGATAACACATACTTGTTCATATTTGCCGTCCTGTGCCCATTTGGAATAATAGTCCACAGACTCTTGCATGCTGATACCGACACGATGAGCGCCATAGTTGGCCGAATACGCCCCAGAGTCGACATTCGAGCTGCTATCTATAAATCGTTTTGCTTTTTCTTCTGCCATTTCTGAAAATAAAACAGATCTTCAAGATATTTTTATGGATTAAACTTCTTTTTAATTTCTCTCACGACGTTTCGAGACCATTCCAGGTCCCTTCATCAGGTGAACTGGCAGTTAGGACTGCCAGTTCACCTGATGAAGGGACCTGGAATGGTCTCGAAACGTCGTGAGAAAATCGTTAAGAAGTTTAATCCATGACTGCCAGTTCACCTGATGAAGGGACCTGGAATGGTCTCGAAACGTCGTGAGATAAATTAAAAAAGAAGTTTAATCCATAAAAATATCTTGGACATCAATGTACAACTTCTAAATGCCACTGAAAGACAAAACAGATCTTGATATTAAATGCTATATGGAATTGATGATAAACTGTTACGTGTAACGGCTGAAATACCGTTACGGAACAAAAAGTATCCTATCTTCGAAATCTACAGTATATGATAATGTGAACACCTGATGCCTATAATAAAAACAAATGGTCTGCTTATCTATTCCCTGTGTGTGAATAGTGCTTCAGTCGAGCATATTTCACATTGTCGTGGTATTCCAAGCCTCTGTTTGTTCATATAGCCAAAGCACAATACATTTCCGCAGGTGTTGCCGAATTTGCTACTGATCTTTCACATTAGCAAGTCGGGTTATTGTATTACCAGTATATCTGGGGTCACAAAAACTTTCATAATCAGGAGTTTCATAAATCGTGCTTGTCTTGTTTCTCGCGATTCGCAAACGTTGAAATCCAACATTTGATCGCTGTCAACAGAATCGTGAACTAACGACAATATTAGTTACAGAAGCATCAAAGTTATTGCCATGTTTTTTCTCGGGATTTTTGTTTGAAGGTAAAGATGGTTGGTTTGTTGTTTAACGCCGCACTTAGCAATATTCCAGCTATATGGCGGGGTCTGAATGGGAGAGGGGTTGTATTGTTTTCAGATTAAGAGTGAATGATTATGGTTTTACGCCGCGTTTAGCAATATATCACGGCGGGGGACACAAGAAATGTACTAATCACTATTTTGTACCCATGTGGGGAATCGACCCCGGGTCTTCGGCCCTTTCATATTTACACAGAGCGCCATACAGATGGGAAATGAACGCGATGAACTTTTTTTACCATAATCAAGAGCAAAAGAGACTATATCCAGGCCACGATCTGATTGGCTAACACATTTGTCAACAATACACACGTGTATTTGTTGTTCTATCATTAGCCAATCAGATCGCCGGAGGAAGTAAAGCCCGGCCCTGACGACCTGGTTTTGTATACTTCTGGCACAACAACTCGGTCTTTGGCGATGTATTAAAAACAAATGCACCCCACGGAAAGCATGTGTATATGCCTCCTACACACATCGAAAATATGGACAAAAGCTTTTGATGCCGGTGAGACCTATCAAATACGATATATTCCTTGATGTCTGCGTATTGTCCGGTTTTCGATAATGTCGCTGTATTTCAGTGATGAACTTTTAGATATTATATAGTAGGCAGGGCTGGATAGTAAACCGGGGCTTAGTTTATCGATGGTTTGGCCCGCAGTGGGGGCCTTTGTCTCCACAATGATGTCGGGTCACGTACGTGATGGCAACTCTGATCATTATCTCTTAAGCACAGTTACATTTTCCGTTAGCATATAAACTAATGCTCAAAAGAAACTATACACCGCAAAAATTCCCCAAAATAAAAATGAAGTGTTAAAACTATACCGAGCCATATCACACGTTCAGATCCATCCTTTCCTGGAACAAACGGCGAAACAAGTTAACGAATCGCCTAAACGTCACAAAAACGACTCTTTCTGATGTAACACGAACTGCACGTGCATAGTCACGGTATAAAACAGTCTACGACACACGTGAGCACAGTAGTAAACAGAACACAAAACATATGCCACGTTTGGGGCAAATCGAAATAGAGGGAGCTGTATAATTTCTTTTGAGCACTAGTTTATATTTGCTTGAGTATTATTCATATCGCATGACAAGGAACATCCCTATCTTATTATAGAGCCAATATCGGTCGGGACTGGATCGGTCCATTGTGTTATGTTCGGGGTTATTGACTTATCGGATAGTTCACTTGACCGAGGGGTCACCGATGGGACACGTTTTAGCTCTACAAGTAGTTTCAGACTTCTCATTCGTGACCGGATCGTACTATTTCGGGACATTTCACAGTACATGCTAGGATATTGACTTAGAAGATATTTATATTCTGATCTTGCACAATGGTGGTACAGCCTTTGCAAAACAAGACCGCTTTACACAAATTACAGCATTTTGAAAAGTATACAGAATCTTCAGTTGCTATGAAATGAATGTTTGCTTCTCTAGTTTCCATTCGTATCACCCGATTGTCTTCCCATATTCCCCTTCCACCTATCCACGTGGCTTGTCGAGGTAGTTCGCGTCATGGCAATCTAAATGGTGTGTGCTTAAGATAAGAACCTTGACTAACCCCTACACTGCGAGGCATTATTTATTGACTTGCAAGCTTGACACTCCAGGACACCCATACCCTTAGCTTCATCTGCAGTAGTTTGAGGCTGGTGAGGTCAGTTATGATTTTTTTCTGTTATAGCTCTGAGTACCCTACAACAGAGAAAGGAAAGCCCGAAGTGACTTTTACCACTTCATTGACGATTCGGGGGTCAAGTAATAATAATAATATGTGTATTTATAATGCGCTGAATTACACACGTAAAGCATGCTCAAATCGCTACATATTTATAAATATTTACAAAGCAAAGGTTATGCTAGAACGAGGGTAAAATGTTTGGAAAGTTAAGTTATAGATTTGCACAATAGTAATATTTTCTGAAAAGATGGGTTTTTCAAGTTCGCGTTCAAGATTATAGCCCCTATCACAAGATAATAATTGTGCCCATGTGGTGAATCGAACCCGGGTCTTCGTTGCTCTCTTGACCATAATATAGTATATTTTAGTTACACTATGGTAGGATGGTAGGATGGTAGGTAGGTAGGTAGGTAGGTAGGTAGGTAGGTAGGTAGGTAGGTAACTGCCGCTAGATTGGCACTGTTCATGATAAATAGCTGCACTTCTAACCGGGACTATTGTGGAGAGAGAGAGAGAGAGAGAGAGAGACAGATTTCTACAGACACTGACTGACTGAACATGGTTTACTGCATGTCATAAAAGTGCCAGGGCATAATAAGGCTATGGTAGTAGAATACATTCTCTAATTAACACCTGTTACAAGAGACAGGCCATTTGTGTTTGTGATCAGTGACGGTGTTCCGCAATAGGTGTATCCACAATAACTCAGGAACTTGTCAAAAGATAATTGGTAATGTTGTCCGGATTTAGGCAAATAAATAAATTCCCTTGAGACAAACCGTAGTGAAACTAAATTAATTTGATTATTTACAAGGTGTAAGAGACAGAATGTTTTAATACATCATTCATTTTAGATCACGTTAAATCATTTCTAGAAGCTCACATCACAGATGATTCCAGAGAAAAAATACATCCTAGTTTAGGAAAAGCATTAAATTCTAAATATGAAAGCCAATGTGATCTCTAATGCCCAGGAATTATTACTACTTATATCACAATTGTTTGAGAAAAACGTTCAAATCTGACGTCGCCTGCTGTTTACTGCGGGCATTGAAAGGCTTGAAACGACGTCTGTACATTCATCTTTTTATGCATCAGCATCAGATACGTCTGTCACTGTAGTCACACACGAGATAAAGGAAATTATATATGTTTACAAAATGTTAAAACGAGCATTGAGAACACGACGACTATCGTAACCCAATGCTTGTTTGGTCGGCATTTTGGAAGTACGACTTTACAGACACCAATTTCTTGTTGATGCATACAGGGGCGTTCCCATGTTTATTCTTACATCATTATCAATATAAAGGTTACTACAACCAGGGGATGAGAAGAATAAATGTATAGTGTGTATGACAAGAAGCAGATTAATATTAACAACAGGTATTTGAGAGGAAGTTGCACACAGTTTGATGAGGCCAGACGGAGACTAAGATCAACAAACACACACACCAAACCAACATACGGAAATTATTAGATTGTAAACAGTCTGATTTGATGCTAATTGAACAGCTGATTGATACACTTTTCCCAGAAATTATTGAGAAAATCTTTGTTTCCTGATACTGACAACAAAGTATCGAAATGCCGACGAATGTAAACCATTTGATGTAAAACACCAGTGTCCTGTTATGAAGCAATAGCACCAGTAATTATTTTTGCCAGTGAATAGCGTCGTGTCAGTTCTTAGGGTAATATTAGAAGCATCACCCCGATTTAACCCACTTGCCGGGTACCATCTATAATGCACTTGAAGGCCGCAGTGTATTCGAGTTGACCCCGTTCCTCGATAGTGTCCTGGATAACAATGTCAAACAATGACCTGTACATTTCATCTGAGATAAGGTCATTCATCTGCTGACATGGTTCATAAAGTCATATTTACACAACCGATCTCACACCACATGTTTTACCAACGCTGGTGCCGGTGAGTAAGTGTGTGAGTATGGTTTTACGCCGCTTTAAAGCTAAAAGTAGCAATATTCCAGCAATATCACGGGGACACCAGAAATGGGCTTCACACATCGTACCCATGTGGGGAATCGAACCCGGGTCTTCAGCGTGACGAGTGGACGCTTCAACCATTAGGCTACCCCTCCGCCCACGGTGATTGAGTGAATTGCGTGTATGTACGCTTGGAAAATGTCGGATGCCTGTGTTACTCCGGGCTTTCCTCCCACGCCAGTAGGACATATTTTGATCATCTAACTGGAATACGGTTCCAAACGGCATAAGACGTCCTTGGCGACGTTGCCTCAACATCTATACTGACAGACTGAGTTTGGTTTTACGCCGCTTTTAGCAATATTCCAGCAGCATCACGGCGGGGGACACCAGAAATGGGCTTCACACGGATATGACGGACTTATTATTTGTCTTGGCTTTATGCTGTACAGATTAGTCGAAATGCATTATAACGGTTATGACGAACATTAGCATTCGTAACTATTCGCCTCTTTCCGTTACCTACAAGAACACTCGTACCTGTATAGTAGGCCATTATTGTCAAGAATCGTGGCAAACCAATCAAATCGCGCGTAGTTACTTGTGAAATGAGTCAAATAGTTTCTTTTTCTTTAGTTTTCGTTTTTAATATCAATTCTGTGATTATAGAATTATCTTGTTACTGTATATTTGTTAACGGCACAAGAAACTTACTTTAAGTGACTTTCGTGTTGTATTATACATTTCTTGGTGTAGCCATGTTTGGAAATCCAGAGTTATCTTTCCTTGGAAATAGTAAAAGACTATTTTCATCTCCGTGCCCGTTTGCGCTTAGACAAGACCCAGTCGTGAACATGGCCACGAGAGGGGTACGGGCCGCCATCCGGCTTGCCGGTATGACACGAGTAATTACGAATACGAATTAGTTGTCCCTTTGCGCTCGTTATAACCCATAGTGTATTATAGTACTGGTGTACGTATGATTTTAGATTCCCCGCTTACAATGGATCCTTGATATCCGTAAACATCGCATACAGGACGATCTTTACGTGAAACGAAATGCATACAACGCTTCATTTATCATGAAATCCGGCTTCCGTGTCCGGACAGTGAATTTCTATAACCGCCAGTGAGAAACACAGCATTTACGAACGTCAACCACGCTAGGCGATGTTTCTTTTGCAATCATGGTCAAAGGGCGAGACCCATGTAATCGCACTGGTTAATCTACACATACTGGTCATAAAAAGTGTTTGTGGTATATCTGGACTTAAGATTGTATTAATTTTATTCAAAATTTTACGTACGTTAATTTCGGCGAAATCATCCTAGCTAACATTGTAACGTTGTCACAACGTTATGCTTTCGTTGTTACAACGTTATTCTGTGGACTCCCATTAACGTTGTCACAACGTTGTGGCCTGTCTTTGTGATACGTCATTTTTACGTCGCCACAAGGTTAAAGTTATTTGATGCTAATGGATTTTACGTTGTCTTACGTTCTATTTAACGTTAATAGTTGAATAGTTTTCCCAGTAGTGAACAGTACATATGAAACACAGTAGAAATTCACTTGTTTATTCGTTAATTTGTACGTTGTTTTGATCGTGTGTTTTCTGAAGATGTAGCTGAATAGTGAAAAAAGAATCTCAAAGTGACACGTTTCACAGAAAACTTGACACCAAGTTATAAGAAACGTTGTTATAACGCTGTGAGGAGACCACCTAACGTTTCCTCAACGTAAATTTGCAACGTTGTTATTGCGTTGTGACATAACGTTATAAAATAATGTAATACTAACGTTGTGACAACGTTGTGTCATGACGGTACCAATCTACAACCTTCCCATAACGTTACGAAAACCTTGTGTGTTAGCTGGGATGAGTGACCAAATTATAGTTATTTACACCAACCACTAACACATTACCTATATTTACCTTTGAAATGAACGTTTCTTGATGATAGTGAGTGAGTTAAGTTTTACGACGCTTTCAGCAATATTCCAGCAATATCACGGAGGGGGACATCAGAAATGGGTTTCACACATTGTAAATGTGGGAATTCGAACCCTGGTCTTCGGCTCGACGAGCGAATGCATTAACCACAAGGCTACCCCTCCGCCCCAGATGGGCTCAGGGAACATAAACAAACATCAGCCCATGTCCCCCTCGACACCAGTGAACAACTTATAATAGCCTTTCTTAAAATCAAGAAGACCGAGGAAATCTCAACCATGACTAAACAAGCTAAGATATACGTAAATATATACCTGACAATAGCAACCAGTTATATCAAAATGATATGCATATATTATCATAATTTCAAATAATGTCAATTTCACATTTATATTGACTTAAGGCCAGACCAATTTTATTTCTTGTTTTACGGTTCCGCCTGTCGTATTTTTTCAAGAATAAGAAAAAAACTAAAAATTAATTTTCCCTGCTCAAAATATAAACTCCTAATGTTTATATTGGCCAAAAATGTAAACATACAAGAAATTTTGTTTTTAGATTGTTTCTTGCCCCATATACGCTTCATAAATTGCCAAAAGTAACATACTTTGAGTATTTAGAAAATATTTTCCCTCCTGCCTTTAGGTTTTCTGAGGACAAAAATCCATAAAACAAGAAATAAAATAGGTCTGGCCTAATAAATATTTATGTTGACTAAGTCAAATAGACGCTATTGTTATGGACACTTTTTGTTCCGGATAGCGACCGGCATTGTGTTTTGCAAATTCATCACCAGGCATCCGTCATCAAAAGGACGGTTATCATGAAATCGCAGAGTTCATAGAATCCCGATGTTACACACGAAAATGATAAAACGTATTTATCGCATAGAATGAAGCTTTTGGCATATTTTATCAATTGAAACTGTGAGTGACCGCGCTGATTGTTCCTTCAACCGCGTTCTCATTACCGCTGCCGATGCCTTCAAACAAATGCCACTCAAACAAAAGAATTTCAGCTGACCGAAAAGAATTCATAAACCTTAATTATAATAAATTAATTTTCATAATCTTTAAAAAAACATGTTTGTAGTAGTCTGTCCATTATATGCCAAAGCGAGGTTCTCTCGATTGATGTAACCAGATCGTCGGAAAGCTCAACGGTAGACTGTCATGCAGACCCTTAAACAGACATATATCCAATAAAGCCCATGCAAGTCTACAATATGTGGCAAGTCTAGATTTCAAGAATCTTAGAACACGTGAAAGTCCAAGAAATTATCGCCCTGCAGATTTGTTTATACTCTGAAAATGAAGAAAATCTCTGGGCTCCTTTCATTATGTTTTATGAGTATAATCTATGAACCGTTTTTTTCTGTAAAATATGTTTATTTCAGAGACGGGATGTTAGCCTTGCTCAACGGCCATTGATCAAAGTTTTCCTTAACATCTTGTTGCAGCTATCATTGTCTCGAATGCGCATCGGGTATGGTCATTCTTATTTGAAATTATATACAAATTAACGCTCTAAAATAACACGATATTGGAATATATTATCCCCGATGTAATAGCGGTTTCAGATGCAATTTATTCCGTCCATTGAGCAATTTTCATGAAATTATATCAACGGGTAAGTTTTAACTGGATCACCTGTAGATTGGTAAAAAAGGTGTGCACAGCTGATTTCAATTTCCTGTATGGTTTACGAGAAAATATTCATGGTAATCTTAATCCCTGCATTAACGGTAATCAGTTTTATCATCACCTGTTTGTTCACCTGGATTCCCTGAAGGATACAAATGATATTTTGACTGCGCATAATACACTAATAATCTGTCGCATTACGGAAAAGGAGGGAATCTAGATAAGGGGGTAACTGACGAGATTCACATCGTGTACCTGGACAAAATGTTTGAAAACGAATGTGTCGGGATACACGAGTTTCGTCCGTGTAGTGTACCTGAATATAGATTGATACAACTGACAGATACATTCTGTACCTATTAATGCACGTGTGTACAGATGATATGTACGTCTGAATGCAAAGTTATACAACACTAAATAGAATGTACAACTGAACACTATACAGCGTTCCATTTAAATAGTATATAATCAGATTTATACGATAAATAATATGTGTCTCGAACCCATCTCTCTTCCATCCTACCAGCGCACTCTCGAACGCCTCTGTCCCACCCAACTCTCGAATCTCAACCTCGAAACCTTCTCTCTCAACCTACTCTCTTCCAACTCTAATATCGATCCCCTCTCTCTCTCCCAAACCCCTTGCCAAGCAATCCCATCTTCTCTCTCAACCTACTCTCTTCCAACTCTAATATCGAACCCCTCTCTCTCTCCCAAACCCCTTCCCAAGCAATCCCATCTTCTCTCTCAACCTACTCTCTTCCCACTCTAATATGGAACCCCTCTCTCTCTCCCAAACCCCTTGCCAAGCAATCCCATCTTCTCTCTCAACCTACTCTCTTCCTACTCTAATATCGAACCCCTCTCTCTCTCCCAAACCCCTTGCCAAGCAATCGCATCATTCTCTCGCACCCGAATTCTCCGACACTACCCTCATGAGTCTCTTCAACCCTACCCAGGTACCTCTTCCACTCCCCTGCCCCACACCACTTCCTCTCTACCCTCGAACCATCTCACCCTCCAGTAACCCTTATCTCCGGCCCTTCCTTAAGACCCTCTCTCCCACTTTACCTTCGCACCACCCTAACCTTACCCAGGGGCGGATCCAGGATTTTGGAGGTGGGTGTGTGTGTGTGTGTGTGTTGGCGTGTGCTGTGAGCACATACATCATGAAGTCCAAAGGGTGGGGGGCGGGGAGTAGGGGATGTGTGCACCCCCTCTGGATCCGCCCCTCTCTCCAAGACTGCTCCTATGGGAACCCAAGCCCCTATATCCTGACTGCAGCAATTTAACACGTTCCGGTGAACAACAAAAAGTTGTTAATTTAGATAAAAGCTCTGGTGTGATGTCCGAAAACTTGACACCAGCGCCCCAAACAAGAAACACATGACTCGGATACAGTGCTCTCCTTCACGTGAATGTTTAAAACTGTTCAGAAGGGCTGAATCTGTTGCGAGGGGCCGATATCACCACGTTTCTATGAAAACTATACACCGGTTCCTCCCCGAGTACCTGCTGCCTGGTTTCAGTGTTATGCAGGGTAAAGATGCCTATGTTTCTAAATATATACTCACGCTAGCTGTCAGGAAACGTCGCTGAATGGGATGTCCGATCTGTAGAAGGCGAGCTGAGTTAGTGCAGACGAGGACCCGAGCGTGCGCGTTACTTGTCTCGACCTTTCGCGTCAAAACGGTCGTGTAATGGGTCTAACACAGTGAACTATTTTCTTTACAGCAGCCGCTCTGTTCAAAAGCCTGGAAAACTTTGCGTATGGTTACATCCAGGGAAAGTCGTGATAGGACCAAGCGCACGAATAACCTCAACGGCACATGCGTGTCACGAGAGAACCGATAGCTTGCCATGAATGTTTAATCTGTTTAATAGGTTATCAGTCTATTTCAACTATAAGAGCAGATACTGGAAATGATGTAATATCACCGAGATGACGATATTGGGGTCGAACAGTGAGGATGATGTACAATATGGTAAAGTAGAGTTAGTATCATATGAGAGAGATTTACTCGTTAGGAGAAATCTGGTTTGAATATTCATGGTTACAGTAATATAATATGTTAGAAATTATGTGAGAGAAACGAGACACGTTTAAATGGCATTCCTGTGAATATTGTATGTGTTCTTAAGGTCAGAACAATAGATAACTTCCCATGTGCGTTTCCATGGCGATGATTGTTATGAGCGAGGAGTGACTGAGAGTTTGAACGAGTTTGAATGGTTTAACACCCTGTTTACACTCGTGAAGATCTGGGTTAGAATTGGTCTTCAGCAACCCATTCTCGTCGTAAGAGGCGACCAACGGGATTGGGGGGTCAGACTAGCTGTCTTGGTTGACACATGTCATCGTATCCCAATTGACGAAGATCGATGTTCATGTTGTTGATCACTGGATTGTCTGGTTCAGACTCGATTATACATTTTTGGGTTTGGTTATTGTTTAACGCCGCGATCAGCAATATTCCAGCTACGTGTCGGCGGTTTGTAAATAATTTAGTCTGGACCAGACAATCCAGTGATCAGCATCGTGAGCCACGATTTACAAAGACGTAAACTATTCTAATAGTGTTTGTGCAGATAGATAACCTGGTCTATTGAAGACTTACATGTCCTTATTATCTGCAATTCCTTTGATTCCCAAACGAAAGAAACATTTGCCACATTCGGACGATACATCAAATCACCAACTAATTTACAATTTACTTAATTCAAATTATTTACAAACTATTTAAACACGTTTTTAATAATACATTGTAATTATAAGAGGTGCTATATTAGCAAATGTTTTGTCAGTAAACTAACTGCAGCTCAATTTTGTTCTACATTTGCACTCTGAGCCACTTGGACTAAATACAGAATAGAATCGTGTCTGGGTCTCGTCTCGTCTCCTCGACTCTGCTTGACAGATGGTGTCACAACAAAAGTCGTATTTGGAATATTAGGCATATAATGAGAGTCAGAGTGCCTCGACCCCGTCCCAGAAAGGCTTCTTAACGCTGCATTTGTTTGTTTACTGCTTAACCCCGCACTCAGCAATATTCCACCTGTGTGGAGGCGGTCTGTAAATGATCGAGCCTGGACAATCCAGTGGTTCCAAGTAGTTTAAATCATTTGGATTACATTTACATGTGTGACTAGTTTGGGTATGTTTCAGTGTCCATACCCGCCTATAATCCTGGCAAAGTGTATTATGTCATGTATGCTGGGCACAATATGTGAAGCCCATTTCTGGTGTACCCCGCCGTGATATTTCTGGAATATTGTTAAAAACGGCGTAAAACCATACTCACTCACTCATTATGTCATGTATGCCTAGAGTGAGTGAGTGAGTTTAGTTTTACGCCGCACTCAGCAATATTCCACCTATATGGCGGGGGTCTGTTAATAATCGAGTCTGGACCAGACAATCCAGTGATCAACAGCATGAGCATCGATCTGCGCAATTGGGAACCGATGACATGTGTCAACCAAGTCAGCGAGTCTGACCACCCGATCCCGTTAGTCGCCTCTTACGACAAGCAGAGTCGCCTTTTGTGGCAAGCATGTATGCCTAGAGGCAGTGACATGTAAACAAATTAATTCAATTTCATTGTGTTCACATACATTAGGAAAACGTGCGGTTTCAAAAGTTTTGCGCACGTTTGGCACATATAGGATAAAGGAACACTTGTACGTTTGGAATGATTAGAGGAACACGTGCCAAATTATTGGGTTGCGTGTCATGATATTACATTTCATGTCATTATACAGGCATGAATGCTCAATCAAACCATCTGAAATATATTGGAAATATAAGGAAACTTATATATCTCAGCAGGTGCTCGGTCTCCCTGCGGCTTCTGTCAACAAATTCACAGCTTGTTAAATTGGATAAAGGATGCTAAGTAAGCTCTTCAAAATAAAGAAACGCACAGGCCAAAAATACCGAGATGTATTGAACGTATTTAAGTGTACATAAGTCGATTAAGCTTGAACATAGATGATGGGAATTCGACACACGGATGAACATACCTCTTGTTGTCATTGTCAGTATTAATTTAGCTCACTCACTGCACATGTGTGGACACTAGGGGGCGTTAATATAATTTCATTTTTATGATTTGTCAGATCTGCAATGCCGTTTAAAATAACAGATAATGTAATCACTGAATTACTACCACATACATCTTGAATAGCTTTAAGCATGATCTTTCTATGTTGATTGTATAATGAACATTCTAAGAAATAGTGATGAGCATTTTCGCACGGGTTTCCACATGCGCAGGATGGATAAGTAAATTGGCCTTCTCTGTACAGATCGTAACTTAATCTACTTGCTTCATGACGTAGTTGAGTATGTAATATGTTAAATTTTCTAATACCGTAAGAAAAGTACAGTGGAGCTGAGTTATATGATGTTATTATGCTCGATTTAAACTTTGATAGTGAAGTGCAAGTTCTTACATCTGTAGATAAATTGTTCCACAATCTTATAGTCGATGGGAAGAACGACTCATGAGAATTTTTTATTCTTGTTCTTGGCAAACAGATATTGCCTGAATTTCTTATATTATATTGACTCCTGGAGCCCAGGCACTGAGGAGATATTTCTTTCAGGTGGACTGGACTTTTGTTGTTTTGAATATTATAGAACAAAGACAATTTTCTTATTCTTCTACGCTCTGATAGTGCCCAAGCCTGTTTCATAATATAGTGAATTAAAATAAGAATATTTGGGAAGTCCTGTAATAATTCTTGCAGCTTCCATCTGGAGCCTTTCCAATTTTAAACTTAGTTCTTTTCCGCAGCCATCCCAGACTTCGCATGCGTACTTAAAGTGAGGTATTCTAAAAACTGTGTAAATCTTTAGAAATGTATTTCTATTAAGAATATATTTAAGTTTTCTTATTTAGTAAATCATTTTAGAGGTTTTGGAAACAATATTAGATACATGGGAGGACCATTTGCCGTTCGATGAAAGTATTATCCCCAAATGTTTATGATCTTCTACCGTTTTAACAATCTTATCGTCAAATAATAAGTTAATCGAGCAAATATCATCTTTAAGTGAGAAAAGTACTGATTCTGTCGTATCTGAGTTGTATGATATCAACCACTTGTTTGCCCTGTCGTTTAACCTTCTGAGATTTACGTTCAATGAGGTTTCTATTCTTTTAAGATTTCCAGAAGCCTTGCCTAATGATGTGTCATCTACAAATAGTCGCGTTATGCAATCTAAGTCATCAGCAATATCATTTACATAAACAATGAATAAAAACGGACCCAACACTGATCCCTGTGGGACGCCAGCTTGGAGTAACCTTGGTTTAGACAGGGCTCCATTAAAAAAGACTTTTGATAGCGATTACATTATGTAATTACATAACCACTCTAACAATCTACCTTTAATAACACACACACACACACACACACACACACACACACACACACACACACACACACACACACACACACACACACACACACACACACACACACATACATACATACATGTATTTAAAAATTCAGCTTTATCAATATCTGAGAACAGCGACGGGTCATCATCATTAGGGTATTGTTTGAGAGCGGGAATGCAAGATGCTGTACCTGAATGTTTTACAACATATCGCAGCATTTTCCAGTAAGAGGGTTTATATTTAAAGTGTAATTCAGTGATAAAATCATCAAGATTGGAATAAAAGTTCTCTTTTACAATCTATTTGCGTCTCACCGCTGTACATCTCAATAAAAGAATGTATATACAGACATAAGAGAGTGAGAAGGGCCACTGATACAAAGTTATGAGAGCCGGTAACAACATATACAAGCAGGCATTTATTCACATATATCCTTATATAAATGTTTTCTACGTTGTAGCAATAAGAAGCAGGTTTTGGCAGTAAGATAGACCTTGTGTTCAAAAAGGGCAAATAACTTTTCGTAGTTCGAAAGTGTTAAAAAGTTGGACACTTCAACGTAACATTTGCGAAGAAAGCTATTCTAGAGCCAGCATATAAGGGTCACCATAATAAAACATTCTCTTCATCTTCAATAAATCCCTTACAGTTAAAACAAACTCAATCCTCAATACTTACATTTGTATATCTGCCCACTTCTATTCTTAAAGGAGCAATACTACATCTAAATTTTGCAAAGGCCGCACGGTAATTATTATTAATATTGGATATTTATATAGCGCACATATCCACGCACTAGTGCATGCTCAAGGCGCTGATTCCGGGGCATAAAAGAGCTGACATAACTTTCACAACAATAAAAACTTTAAAAGATCTGTAGGTACGGAGCTTACTTCTTCTATTCATATCATTATCTTTCCAGAAACCTTCTTGCCAATGTTTAACACATTGTTATTCATAGGAAATTTTACATATTTGTACAGATAATTTACTAGTTAAACGAGTGGTGATATTTAAAATATGCTGCATATTTAGGTCTGTTAATTTTGACGAAAAAGGTAAGTTCAATTTTTACGATTAACAGCAAACCTTTCCGACAATAAGAACCATGTATATTTAAACGCTCATAGCTATTGTCGGACAATAGGTGAGAACCCGATCGAAAATCTATAGGACGAACTTAATCGATGCGTCCTAAACGTCACCATCGTCCTCAGACACTTGCAGAACTTGCCAACGCGTTGCAGGAGGAATGGCAAAGAATTTCCCCAAGAAAAAATCGACGACTTGTGCAATCCCTTCCAAGGCGGTGTCGAGCAGTGACGGCTGCAAGGGGTGGTGTCACCAGGTACTAAACTAATACATTGCAAGAAAAAAAATCAAGAAAAAGTACAGGCA